CTCTCTCTCTCTCTCTCTCTCTCTCTCTCTCTCTCTCTCTCTCTCTCTCTCTCTCTCTCTCTCTCTCTCTCTCACACACACACACACACACACACACACACATGACTGTCGGTGCGGTTAAATGAGTACGATGATGTTTCCACAATGACCACTGATCAAAACCCAGCGTATATAGGTTGTGGTTCGTTAGCAGGTGCAGAAAATATAAATGGGAGATGAACATCACGAGAGAGAGTGATATGTATGGAAAAGCGGGATTCCACTTTTCGTTGCACAGTATGTTTGGAACACTGAACGTGTTTTTTTATTGTTGTGTTTGTGGTAGCAAGGCAGGAAAAAAAACGAACGTCGTGGAAGGCCAAGTAGTAAGTCCATTGTGCGTGTAAAGCGTTTGGGACTGTAGGTGTGAGGGCATTTCATATCCTGTAAAAGAGACAGTGCAGATGACGGACAAGCGCATGGTGTGTGAATGCGGTCGACCTTTCATGCCATTAAGGACATTAAACTCTCATCGTGCGAGGGCATGTCCGTCGTCAATGGGCCATAGATCAAACGATGACGACGCACAGAGTGGGAAGAACAGACCCGCAGAGGAGGACTGCACGCTTGATGGTGGTGGCGAGGGTGAGAACATCGTCGACCTCGCTGTGAATGCGAAAATGGAATGTGGTTCTGAGAAAGATCCCCCTGACGTGCAGTCGTTCGACACATCCCGCAAACTGGCTGCGATCATGTTGTCCTCTAGGGGTGGGTTAGGGATGTCGCTCAACGACATCGACGCTCTTCTGTCAGTACCGACAGATCCAAGATTCTCGCCGCAGGAAATCGTGTACCGCAATAGCCGCGACTTTTTACGTTGGACGAGCAGGCAGGTAAAGACGAACGGGTGGCGGGAGATAGATCTTAAAAGTGATAACTGACCATCAGATGCACATGTCGTCCTGTGGTACCGAGATTGGGATACAACTTTCGCGTCACTACTCAAAGCAGCGACGAAACAGATGGAAACGGTGTCGTGTCTTTCAGTCTCCCCCCCCCCCCGAGGCAGAACCCATAATACACAGCGCTCGCTCAGGTGGGTTGTGGCATCTCGTACAGACTGTCATCAGAGGCGCATAAAGGTGTAGATAAGAATGGTAGAACACGGTATGTGGTGCCAATCTGTCTGTATTCTGACAAAACACATCTAGATGGACGACAGAAACAGACGGCATATCCATTAATGATGTCAATAGGTGACCATGCAGATGACGCGACACTTCTTGCGTATCTTCCTGTCCTCCATCATCGCCCAGGAGACAATGAATGGGGTTTGCAAAGCACCGCGTTCAGGCAACACAAAACCGTCATATTGCACTCAGCACTGTCTGTGGTGTTGCAGGTTGCGAAACATGCGTCGCATGAAGGCATTGTTTATGATGATGCGCGCTGGGGAGAGGTAACAGTGCATCCTTTCCTGCTGAATTATATTCAAGACTACCCTGAGAGGTGCGCCGTCGCAATGGTCAGATATGGTGTATGCGCGACGTGCACAATATCAAAATCTGATTTTGATGTCATTGCGGACTTCAATAACTAACGTCGATCAAAAACCATGGAACGTGCACTTCTAACAGAATTCCATTCGACAGACAACGACGATGTTCGTCGCATGACGAAGACACAATTGTCCAACTTGAACATGCACATGCATGTGAAACAGAACGGGTTGTGAGGATTTTATAGGGGTCCTGAAGATGATGATCCTATGTTCGACTACCACCTGGCTCCGCAACCAGACCGCATGCACACCATCGAGCACGACATATTTTTGCACATGTTAGACACTTTCAGAGCGGCTGCCTTTGACATGTTAAGCCACGTTGTCGGCGCGAATACCCTTACAAGGGTATCCGCCCTGGTTTTTGCAAGTGACAGAAAGGCTCGGTTAGTTTGGACTTTGAGTGCCCGTGCGGGAAATGTGAGGGTCGTTCGCGCGCGGGCAAAGGTATGCCTTGTCCTGGTAGGAGGTATGTGGGCGTGCAATTTTAAGGCGCGCGTGTGATTTTTTTTTATTGAGTACGCGGCCGGGGTTGCCGGCCGACTCGTATTAGGCCACGAGATTTGGTTAGGGGATGAAAGCCCGTTTTTTGTCGGTGCACGGCCGATGGTAGGATTGGTGTGCCGGTAGGCGTATGGGATGGCCCGGGCACAGGCTGGAGGGCCGGCGCGGACACTTAGGGGCCAGGGATGTAGATGGGGGCCGAAAGAGTGGCCTGAGCGGTATCTTGGCCCGACGCACCGTGCGATACCACCTTATATGGGATGTCGCCCCTGCTGGTCACAGGCGTGGGCTTAGCCCTATCGGTTACGATATCGGACTATTGCCATAGAGGTGCGGGGATCGAGGCCAGCGAACGGCAGCGTAGAAGCAAAGGAGCGAGGCGGAAAGGTATGAGGGGCTGATGGGCCGGCGGGACTATCCCCCTTGCCTTTTCCCCTTTTTTTCTTTTTTTGAGTGAGGGGCCGCGGTTCTGCCCGACTACCACGTGCCTTGTGGGGTCTCATGCGTTTACCTAGGTATAGCTGGTCCATGCCAGACTTCGGGTACTAGTATCTTTCTTACGCCCGTATGTGGACGTGAAACCGTGACGGGAACGTCCGCGAACTACCGAAACACAAAGTCGGGGACCTAGATCATAGAGCTTGGTGGGTAAAGCCACGTACTCCGGATTGCCTGGGGCCGATTGCCTCCGCGGCCCAGGCTGTGTCCTTCGGGGTGTCTGATGGAACTGGGGTGGTGAAGGTTGGCGGTGGTACTGGCAGGAAAAGCCGCCATTTTGGCGGGCCTGGGTTCCTTGTGGAGCGGAGCTTGTCGAGGATGCCCGTGTTTGGACCCGGCCTCGACGGAAGGCCAAGTTCGCGCTGACGTGGAAGAGGTGGGGGCGATACAGGGAGAATTTGTGAGGCCTGCGTAGGGGTGGCATGCATAAGCAGAGGAAGGGGGCAAGGGGGGGGCCGGAGGCTTATTGACGCTAAAGGGTCCGAAAAACCGCCTGAACTGGCTCCGAAAGAGAGCCAAGTCCACGCAGATATGGCCAATGTTGTGGGGCGCTGCCTCGTGCAGCCCCGTCTGGATACCCGCAAAAATCTGGCACGGTACGAAGAAGATTCGCATGACCCCCACTCACGGATCGCGCGCAAAAAATTGGAGGTGAACCCGGCCGTGAATTGGGC